CCCCCCCCCCCCCATCAAAGCAGAGATTTGTTTTTAAAAAGTATGAGATGCCCCTTTTGGGTTTTCATCCTTTTATCCTCCAATCATGATGCATTATGCCTCATTAAGATAATATATTCTCTCTTTGCAACAAACTAAAAATGTTAAAGAACTTATTATAGATGGCTATGTGGAATTCAGAGAGTTTTTTTTACTAAGGTAATCATTGATCCTATAAATGGGCAAGCAAAGCTCCTCCTACCCCTTGATTGAAAATTGACTGACCATATGATCCATTTGCAGTTCAAAAATGCTAGTTCAAAACTTTATAAGCTCATGAAAATCCATTTCTATTAGCTATCTCAACAAGCCAAATCTTGGTGACTTTTTGCTATTGAAGATGGCCTTCAATGCATTTTCTTAAGAATTAAATGTTGTAAAAATAGTAATCACATTAAAGAGCTCAACACACATGGTCGTTTCTCCTCTCATGCCACCATCACTTTTTTTCATCTTCTCATCTGACAGCCCTCGCAGTTGTACTGAAAATAAATTACCTACTAGAAATAAAATTTTCTCACATCTTTCTGAGGATCTCATTACTCCTTTTTTAGATGATTTTAGAAAAATAGGTTATTATGCTTATGAAATTGCAACTCTTATTTTGGATGGCCCATCCTTCAAATTCTTGTAGTACTCCTAGAACTTAATCAAAATCAATATTTGTGTTGTTATTAAACATTTGCTCCATACTAAGAAGTTCGCAATTTGATAAAGGCAATGATCATTGCTCTCTTACCAAAATTTGCTTATGTAAGTCACATTATTGTTATAAGCTTATATCTTTTTGCAAATGCTTATACAAAATTATTGTGAAACTAGTCTCAAGATGATCACGCCTCTTATCATTAATGAATCCCAAACTAGTTTTATTCATAGTGAAAATTCTTCCCAAAACATCATCTTGGTTAGTAAAATTTTGAAGGACGCTTTTTCTAGCTCCCATCTCATTCTTTCTATGTGAAATCAAAAATTGAATAAAAACTCTATTGCCATGAGCAAGGTTGTGAAAATTGGATTTGACTTGAACCAAAACAAGAAAAATTTCAAGATTCAATGGTTCGATTGTGGTTGAACCGTAGATTTATCATATGCCATAATAAACATTTAGATTATCACAATATTATTTAAATAATATAATAATTATAAATGTCTTTTTTATCGACTCAACAAAAAATATTTTTATTTAAAATGACAGTATTGAATATTTTGAATAATATTCTAAATAAAAATTTAAGATATTATGTTTTTTCTATTTTAATTTAAATGTAATATTTGTAGCTATCCAATGAAAATCGAAAGGCCAAAATTGAACAATATGTGAATTTACTGGTTCTTCAGAAATCAGGTTAGTTTGTCAACTTGTCGGTACAACTCTGATTCTAATCGGTTCAATCCTGGTTCTTTGTATAAATAGTTCTAAGCTTGGACTGAAACACGACTCAAGGTTGAACCGGTTGAACTAAATGATTTGGTCTAATTTTTAAAATAATAATTATGATTCATTCTTATCTCTTAAATAGGCTTTTGGAAAAAGGATTTCGTCTACCCCTTATGTTTGAAACAAAAAATAAAGCTTGCATCTTTAATATGTGTCATTTCATCTGTAATAATTGCTTTTTGAATGGGGTTTTCCCTTCAATAATTATTCGATATTAAGGGCTATGCATGATCCACGATGCAGTGAAGCATGTTTGAACCACACAAAGTTAACGTGTCAATCAAGTACTTTACAGATTGAATTGTTTGTATATTGATTCTATAGAGAACGAGTTAATTTTCCAGAAAATGGAAATTTAATCCTAGGTTTATTTTGAAAGGTCAAAATTTTATGAAATTTAAAAGATTTTTAAAATCCTAATTTTGTAAAATCCTAAGTCTACATGGTTATGCTTTTTTTAGGTTGTGAATCATGCTACTTTGGCTTAAATTTTGTGAATCCTCGATATTCTTCTAATAAATTTCTAATCTAAAATTTTTAACCAAGGATAAGTACTCCTTAATATATTCTTAGGCATTAAGAAGTGTTAGAAACTCTTATTATAGTTTTGTTTTGCTTAGCCATGCAAAGTTTTTTAGGAATACTCAGTCACCTATGAGGTTGCAATTTTTTACTGACAATATTCCTATTCCACTAAAATGATTGAGTGTTATCCTATCTGTTATTTTAATATATGGTTAATATTCCTAGATCATAAGGAGTTTTAATATTTCAATCGACAAAATGAAAGTAAAGAAAGAAAAAACAAAGATAACACACAGACATGCAACTAAATCTTAGATAATCTTAAAGAAATCTCATGAATAGAATAAAATTCATTACACATCCAAACCAAGGTTGCATAAAGAAATTAGTTCATCAATTTCTTGAGAGAAAGCCAAGTAATTTTTTTAAGGTAAAAATGAAAATGTGTTTACAAAGAAAACAATCAAACACGATAAGTAATTCCTTTATTCTG